ATACCAACAAGGACCACAGCAAACGTGGCCACAGCAGCAGCAAAGCCGCCCACAGCAGGAAAGTTCACAATACCAACAAGGTCCACAGCAGCATAAAACCCCACAACAACATGAGCGTTCGCAATATCAACAAGGTCCACAACAGCAGAAACCCCCACAGCAACCGAATCAGCCTCATCACCAACAACGCCAACAACCACAGCAGACCCAACCGCAACACCAACAATCTCCCCAGCAAACTCCAACACGTCAATCAAGTGTTTCACATTCGTCATCAAGTACATCGCTTTCGTCTGCTCCTTCGCAAAGCAGCATATCACCTGGGACTCTAGGTGTCAAAGGGGAAGCGGAAGCCAACTATTTAATAATGGATTTAAGTAAAATGCCCAATAAGGCTTACCATTATGATGTTACCATCACTCCAGATCGTCCCAAAAAATTTTTCCGAAATGCTTTTACACAGTTCATGAATACTTATTTGCCAGGTCATTTCGCTGGATTCGATGGAGTGAAGAGTTGTTATTTGTTAGAAATGTTGCCAAAACCCGTTTATGAAGGCGATGTATCGGTAATAATATTACACACGTACATTTATAATAAAATTTAATTTGAATGTAAAAATATAATTTATTTTTATGTACAGATTGCGGATTCCGCCTCACGACAAATTCAGTTTAAAGTTTCGATTAAACCCACAGACAATATTGAAATTGATTTGGGATCACTACGCACGTAAGTCCAGCATTCATTGGCGTTTTTTTTCTTTCTTTTTTAACCGCTCCAACCATTTCAGTTTGTTGTAATATTTAAAATTTTTATTTCAGATACCGTAATGACCGTATTTATGACAAGCCAATGCGTGCTCTACAATGTCTTGAGGTGATTTTAGCGAATGCTTGTCAACAAAAGGGCCTACGTGTCGGTCGTTCCTTCTTCACACGACCTAATCAGACATTAGATCTCGATGGAGGTTACGAGTTATATACTGGTCTTTACCAGGCAGCTATTTTAGGCGATGTGCCTTATTTAAATGTTGATATTTCAAATAAGTCATTTCCAATGGCATTAAATTTAATTGATTTGTTGAACGTGTTGCGTATTGATGCAGGACGCAGTCTAGATCAACGGGGTTTACAAAGCCTAAGTGCTCACCTTAGAGCTTTAAAAGTAATTTACAGTCCTCCTCCTTCTTTTGGTGCTGCACCACGGTCTTATAAAGTAAACGAAGTTAGCAGAGAATCTGCAAGTTCTTTGTCTTTTAAAATTGACACTGGAGAGAAATTAACGGTTCAGAGCTACTTTGCTAGTCGAGGTTACAAATTAAAATATCCTCACTTAGGTTGTGTTGTAGCAGGATCTTCGGTAAAACCAAATTACCTACCGATCGAGCTATGCAGCATCGAACCTGGCCAAGCTATTAAGGTAAGTAAAACTAAATCCCAGGTAAAATACAAATATAGATAAATAACGATGAGGATTTATTAAAATTCCCATACTAAACCTAACTTTTAATAAATTTCTAAAATTTCCGTTTTTAAGAAAAAAGACGGAAAAGCCCAAGTTCAGAAGATGATTAAATTTGCCGCCACATCAACTGATGAACGAAAAAGAAAAATAATGGAAAAGCTCCAATATTTTTTGCATAACAACGACATACTCTTGCAAAAGTTTGGAATTCGAATTGATAATCAATTTATAAAGGTACCAACACGATTACTAAGACCACCGTCAATTGAATATCGATTAGGCAAACTCGTAGATCCTCGAAATGGTTCCTGGCGCAATTTACAATATTTGCAAACTGGCATGACATTAAAGAAAACTGGTCACAAGTGGGCGATCATATATAATCCTTCTAGGTTTTTGCGACATGGCAATTTGCTAGATTTTTCAAACATGGTGAGTTTTATTTTCGAGTAAAGCTTTTACTTTTTCCTGCCCCAAAAAATATACATGAAAATGCAGTCCACATAATTAATTTTATTGTGTCTCTATTTGAGGCTCTCATTGCATATTTTTTAATACAGCTGCATGATTATTAAACTGTTTATACATTTTCTTTAAAATATTAATATAATTTTAATTATACTGGCAACTTGCAAATATTTATAGTATATGATCTTTAATTTGTCATACAGTTATTCAATGAAGCTAAGCGAATGGGCATAAATTTGGATTCAGAGAGGGAGATACAAGAAACCAGAGACATTGTTAGAACATTGGAGGAATATAAAAGAAAAGATTACGACTTGGTTATAGTGGTGATTCCCAATTATGGTACATCGTACGCTGATATAAAACAAAAAGCCGAATTAGTTTGCGGGCTCCTCACTCAATGTATCAAAGAACAAACTTTGAATCGACGTGTGGACAATCAATTGATTGGCAATTTATTATTGAAAATAAATTCAAAACTGAATGGATCTAATCACAAAATTTCAGCTAAATCCCATATTGTACTCGATCACGCCATGTTTATGGGGGCGGATGTCACTCATCCATCACCCGATCAACGGAATATTCCAAGTGTTGTTGGTGTAGCTGCTTCCCATGATTTAAATGGAGCTTCTTATAACATGCAGTATCGTTTGCAAGAATCAGCAAAAGAAGAAATAGATGACATGCAAAGCATTAGTCGTCACCATCTGAAAGTATATTTCCAAAAGAATAATTGTTATCCAAATAACATCATTTATTACCGCGATGGTGTGTCTGATGGGCAATTTAAGAAGGTGAATAAATTCGAAGTCAGCGCTATACGCGCAGTATGCAAAGAGGTAAGTGTTACGTGGTGTATTATTCAGTAACAAGCAATAGCAATGTTCAAATGTTCTTGCATACAATTAGAATATTATCTTCTTTTGTTGCGCACTAATTCAATTTCATAATCTTATTCCAGCTTCGGATTACGCCTAAAATAACATGCATAATTGTGGTGAAACGACATCATACGCGTTTCTTCCCTACCAAACCTACTGGAGATAAATGGAACAATGTCTTGCCCGGCACAGTTGTCGATCAAAAAATCGTTCACCCGAACGAAACACAGTTCTTTATGGTAAGCCACCAGTCAATTCAAGGGACAGCAAAGCCGACACGTTACAACGTTCTCGTGGATGACGCAAAATTTACAATGGATGAATTACAAATGATGACCAATAACTTATGCTATATGTTTCCGCGTTGTAATCGCGCAGTTTCTTACCCAGCGCCTGCTTATCTTGCACATTTGGTTGCAGCTCGTGGCCGTGTTTACATCGATGGGTAATTCTTTCTTTTGAATTTTTGTTTCGTTCATTAAAGAGTAACTTTTTCAGACCCCCTCTAAGGCGAGCTCTTCGCGACGAGTATAATAAACGACTCATTAATGAATCCTTTATGCAAAATACACCCATGTTTTTTGTATAAACATAAAATTAATATATATATATGTATATACATATTTTTCTATATCCAATGGCAAACATAGTTATGTATATATATATTATCATTTAACATTTTCAATCAACTTATATGTATATGCATTTTAAATTACAAATATATTATATTTTTCGATTGCAAAACCCAAGTACCTGGAATAAAATTTCCTGTGTACTTTATTAATGTGTTTCAATTGAATGAAGAACGATTTAATATTTCTTCACAAGATATCTTTTTCGTTAAGATAATATAATTCAGCCGAATTGGTTTATTTCTCATAACGAATTTCGTCGTTACAACAACAGAAATAGTAATATATGATGGCAAAATTACAAATATATGTATACATAAGAAACGTGAACGTCCTTATTATAATAAACTGTCATAATATAACCGAATTCACTGTTTGCATCGCTAAAACATAGTTGGCAATTCATGGCTTCAGTGAGTGAATTGTGCATTTGATCGAAATAGGGCGCTAGATTATGCTGAAAAGTGTCAAAAAAGAATGCTATTAGGCTATTTTTATAATAACTCAACCTAGATTTTGACAGAATATGTTTTATAAGCTTGTTTTTTAAAAAACTGTAATTTAAAAAACAAATGATAGCAAAAATTTGGAGCTCACTGTACTTGATTGATGTCAGCTGATGTTTGAAACGACAAGTTTTGGCGCGCAATTTAATTAGTTTGTGATGAAATTTCGTGCGTTAATAGTTTTTTGTGTGCAAAAAATTGATTTGTTTTTAAAAATATATTTATGCTGTTGCGAAAATGTCTACACGCAGTTGTGTACCGATGCAACAAAAATATAATCGTGTAGTTGTACTTGTGGATATGGATTGTTTCTTTTGCCAAGTCGAGGAGAAACTAAATCCCCAACTTAAAGGACAACCAATAGCTGTAGTGCAGTATAATGCCTGGCGCGGTGGCGGGTAAGCGTAATTAATATAATTACTAATTTCATTACAAATATTAATTCACCTTTTTAAAAAATATATGTATTAAGCATAATTGCTGTGAACTATGCAGCGCGTGAAAAAGGTGTAACGCGTCATATGCGCGGAGATGAGGCTAAGGAACGTTGTCCCGAAATACAATTGGTTAAAGTACCAAATATACGAGAAAAAGCCGATTTGGGCAAGTATCGTGAGGCAGGCAAAGAAGTGGCTACTGTGCTACAACGTTTTACACCACTGTTGGGGCGGGCTTCCGTTGACGAGGCATATTTAGATATAACGGAAGAGGTCAATAAGCGCTTGGAAGACATGAATGCGGTAAGTAAACTTTATTAAGCAAATAATTTAAATATTTCAAAAAAATGTCCTCTTTTATTTTTTTAAGGGTTCATTTATGCTTCAACCGGCGGCTCTTATAAATACCTATGCTGTAGGTTATACTGGTATTGGTGATTATTTAAATGTGATCACGAAACATTTCAATGAGCCTAATGAGGAATATTTAGACACAGAATATGGTTCATACGCACAAGCTCATGACTATGCCGATATGGCGGCTGTACGCCAAAGTGATATTCGCTTGATTATCGGTGCAGCGGTGGCAAGTGAAGTGCGTGCTGCTGTTAAGGCCGAAACAGGCTATGAATGTTCTGCTGGAATTGCGCACAATAAAATTCTCGCCAAATTGGCATGCGGTATTAACAAGCCAAATAAGCAGACCATTTTGCCGTTGGGAGAGATACCCAAGTTATTCGAAACTTTGCCACTCACTAAAATACACGGATTGGGTGGGAAGTTTGGCGAAAATATATGTACCTGCTTGAACATTCGCTTTCTGGCAGAGTTATTACCCTTTTCCGAGCAGGAGTTGCAACGGAAATTCGATGAAAGGAATGGGTGGGTTATATATGTTTCCATAGACTACTAGCGTCATAGTAAATTTACTAATTTCATTGTATGCAATTTACTTCTAGCACTTGGTTATATAACATTTGCCGCGGCATTGATTTGGAAGCGGTTACACCACGCTTTTATTCCAAAAGTATCGGTTGTTGCAAGAAATTTCCTGGACGTAATAATATAACTGGTTTAAATACATTGCGTCATTGGCTGGGTGAGCTGTCTAATGAAATTTGCGATCGCATGGAAAAAGATATGCTGGAAAATAATCGTCGAGCCAAACAAATGGTGCTAAGCTTTGTGCAAGAATTCGATGGTGAAGAGGTATCGGGGTCACGTTCCGTGCCGCTTAAGGGTTACGATCAGGAGATGTTAACCAAAAGCAGCTTGGAAGTGCTGCAGCGACATACCAAACAATTTTTCAAGTCCGGCAGCTCACTAGCTTTAAACAATCCCATTAAATTTTTGGGTATTAGTGTGGGTAAGTTTGAAACATTACAAAGTGGACAGAATAAATTGCAGGAAATGTTTGCCAATATGGCAGCTAAGAAAAAAAACGAAACGGACAATGACTTGCCAACAGTAGGCCGTGAAGGTAACGGAACTACATGTACGGACACACCTGTTGCAAAGAAACCCACATTTTTTCAAAATTTTTTGCAACGTGATTCTAATACAAATTATTTGACTGATTTGAAAGCTAACAGCATTACTAGTGCTATAAATGTCGACAAAAGTTTAACAGTAACGAATGCAGAGCTGTCTGCTATAAGTTTAACAAAAAAATTTGATAATTCAGAGCCACCAGAAGTACGTAGCTTCTTTCTAAATGCTTTAAAAGAGCAGAGACCTAAGGAGAGTACATACTCGTCAACTACCTTTAATGTTGAAGCCGAAAATAATATTTTCACCAATAATAATGAAGAGCATAAAACTGATATTTCGAAAAGTTTTTTTACAAAGTTTTTAAAAAAGTCGGATATTGAAGAGAATAATGTACAAAAATGTACAAAAAAAAACGCGAACCAGCTACCAAACACCGCACCATGCCAAAGCACTAATGTAATAGAAACGCATATGACAAAAACCCCAACAACAAAAATCAATGCAATAGATTTAACTGTTGAGTTAGAACAACACATTGATCAGACAACGTTCGAAACCAAAACGACAGCAACAACAGCCACCATCAATGGTATCAATACAACAACAAATAAGCGCAAATATACCGCTTTGGTTGGCAATACATCGCCAACTCATAATTCACCAAAAAACATGTGGCCAGTAAGGGCTAAGCGTACACCTTCACCATCATATGAAGCAAGTTATGTTGAATTTGCGGTGCCAGAGTTGCGTCCGGAATTCCTACTGATGACCAAATGTGCCACTTGCAAAGCGGATATACCCTCGGATGCACGCTCCATACAGCTGCATCAAGACCATCACGTAGCTATGCAGCTTAGTCAACAAATACGTGACGAATATCGCAAGGAAGTCAAAACAAAACTAAGTGCGCAGAAAGCCACAGCAATTGCATCGATTCCAGGCAAAAAATCAAAAAAGTCACCAGTACAAGCAACAAAGGCCGGCAGCAACAAAGCTGGCACCAGCATAACCAAATTTCTAAAGCCCATTAAGACCAGTACAACGACAATTGCCTCAAATGCAACTCCACTTGTGGAGTCAAGGTCTCCTAGTATAGTAATCAATGTGTTAGATACCACTGTGCAGGAAACGGTGGTTTGTGTGGAGTGCAACTTGCCCATAGTCACAACTGCCTTGCAAGAGCATAAAGATTTTCATATTGCCAAGGCTCTACAGCGTCAACTCAACATGTTGTAGATGCGCACTGTGTCGGCGGCTAAAAATTCAAATGAACCTAGTCATAACAACAGCTTGAATTTAAGTCACGCGAGTGTTAAAAACGTGAAACAAATCACAATCAAATTGATAGACAAATAAGTACCTAAATGCATACATAAATAAGTGTTCTAAGTAGCAAGTATAAGTGTTTTAAGTAAGCAAGTATAAGTGTTTTAAGTAAGCAAGCTTAAGTGTTCTAAGTAAGCAATCATACATCTATGAGTTCAAAGCAGATTAACATATGTTCTTTGTGGATCACCTCAAATATATGCACACATTTCAACTTTTACCACTCTCATATAAACAGCATAAGGTAAGCGTTTCATTATTGTTTTAGTTCATTTTTATGTTTCGCTTATATAAATTTTAAAGTTAGGTTAGTATTTGGGATCCGTTTGGTTTCAAAACCGAACAAATATGATAATTTCAAAATCCGTATGTACATAAATACTTCAAGTATATTAAGGACCGTTTTATAAATGTATGGTTAGCAGCCATCTGTCAGTTTAATTCTGGTTAACTTAACTTAGACTCATTCTTTCGCTGAAGAACCGTTTTTTTAACCAGAGCTTAACTGACAGATGGCTGCTAATCAAACATTGGGAAAACGGCCAGAGATATATAACTTTCTATTTTGGGGGGTTATATCCAACTGCAAATAGTAAAATTTGCTCTTTTTCAAAAACTCTCTTGTAATGCTAAAAATCAAGCTACATTCGTTCATTGCATCAGAATTAATATTTTTTTTTTTATCTAACGGCTGTTAATAACATCATTGAATAAAAAATAAATTTCCTAATGCGAAAATTTTCAAATAAGTAAAATATGGAGGTGGAATATTCAAAAGAAATGTTTCGTGTTCAAACTTTACTCGTATAAATCCAGTAAACCTGTCGACTTCTTTTAAAAGTTAAGGAGATCGCTTCATTTTTTCCTGACTTATACTGCTTTTTCAAAAAACTTCGAATATTATCAGTTCATAACCTCAACTCCCATATAAAAATCGAAAACATACATTTTTATAAGTTTTGAATTGCCTTAGCAATTATTTGCATTTTTTTAATATTTTCATTTGCTTGATTAACACTTATAGACTTAATTAACACTTGATGCTCAATTAATAAGTAGGCACTAGAAGCTCATCATAGTGTGTTTGGTTGACAAGATTTCCATTATTTCGCTAAAAATAGCCAAATTTATATCCGGGTTATGTTCTTGAACCGCTCACTTGATCTCTCGTTCTAATTAAAGTATTTGGTGTAGTATTCGTTGTAGAAATTGTAGTCGAAATGACCGTAGTTCTTGTAGTTCTCGTAGTATTGCTTCAGTGTGTCATTGTGATAGATGTTCACATCCTTGAAATAAATGTTGGGCACGAAGAATTGAGATAAATCAATAGGACGATCGAATGGATAGCCGAATGGCTTGTTATCAACGTAACGTAATCCCGTGCCAATGCCAGAAAGGTAGGTGACATCAATGTTTGAGGGTTGTTCGATAGAGCCAACGTATGGAGTAATGTAAAATACGAACTGTACCGGTAGACCACTCTCCCAACCCTTAGGTAAGAGCAGACGATCTGGGAATCCACGGTGTGATTCGCTAATTTCTACAGGGTATTCGTATTTGCCGTCGAAGGCAGCCATCACATAGTGATACAATTCAGTGTAGGTGGTGCGATCCTTCACAGTCCAGTAAAATTCCTCAGATGAACGTTTGATGATATTCTCGCCAGCGACCAATTCATAGACGAATTCATCTAATTCAATGAAATTCATGCGATTATCGTTCAGCGAAAGAATACGCCTATATTCGTCGTATTTAGGACCGTAGAATGTGCGAAGAACAACCTTCTGTGCCTTGTCCGATTCGACAGTGACATCATAGTGGAATGGTTGGTGGTTGAGACGCATTTGACGAGCGTACAATGATTTGTCCCATACGAATTTACCATCATCGAAAACCATTTTGTCGTTCAACAGGTTGGTAACATCAATATCAACCAAATCGAAATAGGTGACCAATTCACTAATGCTAACATCCTTGACTTGAACTCCGTGAGCAACGAGTTCTTCTTGTGTGTATGGTGTGAAGTGGTATTTGAAACGATAGAAAACATCGGTGATTTTTTTGTAGAAGCTGTACCACATTGGATCACGCAACATGGTTTCGAAGTTGAGGAAAACATTTGGATATACCTCAAAGTCGTTGTAGTCTACATCAGCGAGGTACATATGACTCAACATATTCCAATAGCTGAAGAAGAATTTATCAAAAGTATCGATATTAGATTGAATGTAACTTCCGATGAGCTCAATAGATTCTGGTTTTCGTATATCGATCTTGTGTCCATCAGCGGTGGTATAGTATCCATAGTCGATGATATCGTAGATACGCTTGAAGGCGCTTTGAATTTGGTTTAACATGTCGTATTTGCCATACGATCTACGTTCGAAATAGTTGCTGCGAGTGCTGAAACCAACACCGTTATAGGAAATCAATTCGGAATCATATCCGTATTCGTAAGCATGATTCCAGGAGAAATCGTCAATTTCACCGAAACCATGAGACAAACGTTCCATATAGTAACGACTCAGGATTTGGTCAACATTGTACAACCACAATTCACCACGACGATCCTTATTCAAACCGAAAGTTTCTCCATCCAAGAAGAACGCGTAATCCATGTTCAAGTAGTACCAATATGAATTCCAACCCAAATCTTCAGTGAAGTATGACAATGCAGAGTGTTCGTTGTAGTAGTCAATGTCACGTGTGTAATCAACCGGATGCCAGAACATGTTGATATTCTTCATGAAGGACACATATTTATCATCAGAAACAATTTCGTAAATGTTTTCACGTAGAGGGAAGTTCTTCTCGGCAGCGTACCACTGCTCGTCCAAACCCATAAGTCTCCACCATTGGTAGGTCTTGAAGTCCTTTATATAGAAATAACCCTGGTTGTAGTGGCTGTTGGTTTTGTGGTAGACGTCGAGCAATTCCTTCTCGTATTGACTGTATTTGCTCCAGGTGTTGTAATCGAATTTCTCAGCTTGGTATATGAGTTTGCTGTTGAGGAAATATTGTGGGAAGATTTCGTAGATGGATGGTAGTACCAGACCCTTGAAGTCATCACGATGGATGACAGCCAAAGTCAGAGCATAGATGAACATGCCTTCGTTGACATGGTTGCGAGCCCATGCAACGTTGGCTTGGAAGGTTTCCCAATCCTTGGCGTAGTAGAAGAAGTTGAAGAGACCATAAGCTTGCTTGTGGTGAGTTTTAACGAGGGCACCAAAGAATTCACCTCTAGGCAATAGAGCGCCCATTTTGTAAGACTCGTAGAATTTCTCCATATATTGATCGAAGTGCTAGAAACGCCAAGAGTATATATAATATTAGCTTCATTTAGGGATAAGTGATGGTTATTAATTGAAACTTACGGTGTAAAGTGCCTTGTCGTAGACCAAAGTGTGGCCCAACTTGATGTACTCCTCGAACATCAGTGGATCCTCCACACGGTAAACGATTTCGAAGAGGAACTTCTGTTTCTCCAAGAAAACATGATCGGCTACGGGAGACTTCTTGATCGATGAAACACTAGCGGCGGTCACTAGGCCAACAAGAGCCAAAAGAACGATAGTTAACTTCATTGCGAAAACTGCTCCGGATTAGATACTCAGCTCCAATGCCTAAAGACTGTTGCTGCTTCGACGACGTAGAGGCCTTTATATACATATGCTGTTATCAGTAGGCGAACAGCTTTTGTCTATCGTGCAGATGAAGAAAGCATTGATGCCAATCGTCGGTTCTGCGTGACCTTTTTGACCATGCTAGTATTTCAGTCTGCCTTATTGAATATTAAAAAAGTGCATGTGTTGTCTTAATATTACGCTTTTTTCACTAAGGTGAGAGCAGCTTTAACTTAGGTATGTATGTATGTCTATTTCTGCGAGTTTATTTGCATGTGCTACATATACATACATATTCGGTGTGATAATACTCGTACTATCAAAGCCCATGGATTCAATGCTATGGTCAGCGGCCATTTATGTTTACGTGGTGCATTCTGGAACAGATGTGCTAAAATCGTATTTAATTAAAATTCAAACAGATTCACAAACATATGCAATTAAAAAATGATTGTGCTAATTGGCGTGGCGTCCATGCCTTATGAGTTATCAGTGCCTTGGAAAACTACCCACTTTCATTCAAGACTCAATGAGTCTTCAGAAATTATTCAGTCCATTTATGCTTGTTATGAAAATATATTATATGACATGAGATGTCTTCAACTCGTTCGTGTTCGAAGATTTTTCTTTCTATAGTTCAACATTTTAACAACATTGAAACGGAAAAGGCTTTATAAACTGATCACATCGTAATTGAGTAAACTCATTTAAGGCGAGGTAAATTTGAAAGATCTGACTTTCTTGTTACGCAAAGGGCAGCCACATATTATAAATTGACGTGGGCGCAGACGACCACCCTATTTGTTTAAAAAAAAAAGTTTTTGAATATTTACTTCTTAAATTTAATTAGCATTGTTGACGACTACCGAGTCACATACAAATCTTATCACTGAAAGTAATTTTGTTTTTAATTTAATTTTTTGTTAAAAAAATGGCACAATATCTCCTGAACTTTGCTTATGATGGACGGAAACACGTACAATACATTATATATAATTTAGTATAAAGCCAAATAACTAGAGGTTATCGACAAATGCCGGTCTGCACAATGCAGTACTTAGAAAATGTGCACTTTTCAGTTTAAAGACTTTCACTGCGCTTTCAAGCGGTAAAAAACTCACATGCTAAAAATTACAGTTACAGTTAACGCAAGTCATTGCTTAAAATAACTTCCTTGACTGCCGAACGCGCGTATTTGGTGCAGCATAAGCTCAATGCCAACGAGGATGCTTTTCGAGGCACATGCCTGGTTTTCGAATTGGGTTAGCAAGTATGTCTAATTGAATTGATACAAATTTCAATTTTGACATAAATTAAAAATATGTTACTCTTTAAGCACTTCGATCAGCCGCGCATGCTTTGTGTGACATATAAAATGGGGGCCTTTGTGAGCAAATTTCTTGGTCCAATTTTAGTTAAAAATATTGTTTATTGTGTAGTCTATATAGTTAACTGATTAATGCTTAATTCATAAAGGAAGCAATTGTATTGTTTTCTATCTAATGCTGCCTTAGTAAGTTAACGGCTTCATAAATCCCGATATTAGTGATGATAAATTTAAAGTGTGTATGTGTATGTATGTATATATATTAATAAACATAGATTTCTTTCAAATTATTACTTAAAATACGTCTTCGTCATTGTTTATTCTTGATGTTGTAAATATCTGCTAAATAACTTTGTAATTCATTTTTATTGCTTTTTATAATAAAACTTAAAAAAAAAGTTGTACCCTGTTACCAGGTTTTTTTTTTTTTCAAAAATAACATTTTTGACTTGACTGTTTTTCGCGTATTAGTTTAATTAAGTCAATTAACCAATTTTCTTTATTCCTATTGGTTTCGTTAATTTTCTTATTGACTGAATTAGGGCATCGTCTTAAAGTCTATTTACCATGTCCTTTTTTAATTTTAACGAGTCTATTGTCAACAATATAAATTAAACATTTTATTTTACTTCCTATATCATACAATTTCATTTTTATTCTAAAATTACTAAATCAATACACTTTTTAAATAACTAATTACATATAAGTACTTTCATTATCTAAATTAAACTTGCTGCTGTTTGGGTTTTCCGACGATTTACTATTGCCAATTTTATCCGCCTCGTGCACTGTCGTCGGTAATATTGTATTTGAAGTTTCTGGAAAGAGCAGCGCCAAACAACCACTGACTAGAGCACAAACGGCAAATATTATGGCTGGCACATTCTCATAATATTTAGCCTAAAAGGAGAAAAGAAACGATATTTAAAATTAAATGAGCAAAATAGTTGAAGATTAAATCATATTTGAGAAAAGTTCAACACTTTGAACTACTTAAATAATTTAGGGAGGGCTGTCGAAGTAAAACCGGAGTTTGATATATATACATGTTCCATCCGGTAAGCTAGCTAAATCATAAGACTTAGGACTGTTTTTTCAATATCAGGTTAGCAGTCAGATAAGTTCTGATTAGTTTCAAAACTTCTTCCTTTAATAAAGTACGGTTTTTGTTTTAACCAAAACTTAACGAGACACATATTAAGAAAGCGGCCATTATAAGTTGTTTCTAATTTTACTTTCTCGAGAAAAGTGTTTTCGATACTTAGTTATAGACAGATCTCTTGGTTTATATATAAAAATAAAATAATAAATATTGGTTGCACGCCACTTCAGCCTTTAATAGATTACGGTGTTGGCGTAAACTCTGTTTGCTTTTTGCTTTCCACTTTAAACTTACCAACAAAGGCGTCTGTGGCGCTACCATTGAACCAAAACGGCCAACCATCGAGCAAAAAGACATCAAACTGTTGCGCAAGTTCGTGGGAAATATTTCCGAAGTGAAAAAGTATAAAACTTGGAACGCTGCGGTGATTGCAAGCTTACCCACTAAAAACAAGCTCAACTGTAGATAATATTTTTCTGAAAAAAAAAAAAAAATCTAAAAGGCACTTTCGATAATAAAATACGTTTTTTTATGGATTTCCTACCTGAATGCACAAGCACCGTACACAGACAGCATATGCCACTGAGTAACATAAAACCACATAGTGAATATCGTCTACCATATCGATCTATCGTCAGACAGGGCATAAAAAATCCGGGAATTTCCACAAGCGCAATCAATATGAAATTGTAATATTTATTACCACCCAATAGCACCGAGTTCAAACTGAGGCCATAGTAGACAAGCACCGTCACTACCCATGAGAGCGAACAGTTTGCAATACGAAATAATAATTTGCCGAAAGCCTCACGCAAAGGGAAACCACCACCGCTTTGACTGCTTAGCTTCCCACGATTCGCCAAAATCAATTTATCCAACGTTGCATCGGAAAGTCTACGTTTATTTTTTTGCGCCACACGCTTCAGTATGTCGGTAGCTTCGGTTTCACGTCCCTGACTTAGCAGCCAACGCACGCTCTCCGGCAGTACCCAGTAATAAGAGATCATAGCCAATGCCGGTATGTAGAATATACGTAGCATAATACGCCAATTCGGAAAGTACATAGAGACCACGGCTAAGAGCATTTCGCCGATAGCGTAGAAGATCGTAATTACACTGCAGGCAAATACGCGCTTGCTGGGACCCACCAGCTCAATGCCTATAATAAAGCAAATGGAATAGAGTGAGCTATTGGCGACGTTGTCGAGGAACTCGAAGACCAGAAATGGCACATAGGAGGTAGTAAACGAGCGCATAATCCCAAATAAGGCGCTCAGCATGCCGCCAAGCGCGAGTGCATTACGACGACCGTATCTGTAAATTATTGGGTAGAAAAGTTAAAATATCAAAAAATTAAAATAAATTTAAAAACATTACGCACTTATCCGATATCAAACCACCTAATGGTATACCGACAAATTGTCCAACATTATTAATGGTACCGGTGAGCGTCAGCTTCCACTCATCATTGCAGTAGATGCCGAACTACAAATGTTTTGCGAATATACAAGTACATATTATATTAATTTTCGTTCTAAGTTTTTTCTCTTCTTCACCGCTCTATACTCACATCATTCGATATGGTCACTTCGTCATCGCGAAATATGAAATTATTGTCGGGACAGTTCTGCGTCTTCTTCTCATCAAATAAATCTGCCGGACAATATTGTTCATCTTCACTTGTAATGGTCCAGTTTCTAGCAATGTTTGCGTATCGTTGACACTGATCTAGATCATGGCCCTTTAATGGTATGGCATATTTAACCCATGGCTCATCGTAAGCGCTCTGTGACCCGTCGCATTCCGTGAGATTGCACCTAAAGTAAAATGACTAAACTAGCTAGGGTAAGGTTCAGTAAAGACTTATATTCTATATCCAGAGTCTATTATGTTGTTAATTGCCTTGGCAACGAGAAACTGTTACAAGGGGCACAATAGGTTGGAAAACTATTTTCAATTCATACTGTTAAGGTTCGCCGTAGAAGGTTTTTTCCGCAATTTCACCAGTTTTTTCGTTGAGTTTAGTCCAAGAAATTCTCGTTCAAGGTGGCCAAGTTACTCATACATCATAGTTTCTGCCATTAAACCAACTACTCTATACAATTTTGTGTCAAATCTATCTTGATCAAGCGTTGCTAGGTGACCCACTAGCAAATGAATGCTTAATGAATCTGTGAAATTTCACGTTTACCTGGTTTATTAACACACTTCGATTAATATATAAATTATTATATATTTTTTGAAATATTTATAATTTTTTTTCCCTAGACAAATTTATTTCTAATAGTAAAAATTGAATTAGCAGTATTAATTTTTTGGATAAAATTCTGATTATTTACATTCTTGGAAAAATGTGATAATAGTGATGATGTGCTGAGTATGAGGTGTAGCTACGAAGAGACGACACTAACGTTTGCCCTTCAGGCAGGTGTGTATACAGATACCTATATTTGTATACCATGAACAGGGTATACTAAATTTGCCACGAATTCTATAACACCTAGAAGGAAATGTCGGAAACTTTACAAAGAATATTTTATATAAATATGAAAGATCAGCGTGATAAGCTGAGTCAATCTAGTCATATCTGTCTGTATTTTTTAGTTGACAAGATATCTTCTTCGCAGTCATTATACTCGTATACGAGTATTTATTTTAAGTTTTACACATACACATAATATATATAAAAGTATATATTGTAGTTTGCGCACCGCTGTTGCTCTCATATTTTTATATATAATTATTTCTTGCTTTTACCATGGGACACTCACCTGTGCGCCACATTTCCAGCTGTGAAAATATATGTGATCGATGATACGGCATTAAATAGAACTGGCAGGCAAGTTAGTACAAGTATGACGATCTGAAAGCGCCCAAATTCCCCTAAACGTATGAGTATGGCATCTAAAGTAGATTCCTCCTTGCTGCTGTTGTTGGCAGCCAATGATTCAATGCTTTGCGCGACAGAACCGTTGTTGGATTGCATATTTTCAATTGAGTAGTGAAATTGAATTTGCTATTAATTCTTTGCTTTCTTATCCTGAATAGGGTGTATTCAGTTTGACACGAACTTTCTAACACCAAAATTTTTTTAGTTCAGATTGCTATAACATATATCTACCTTTTTTTGTTTTTATAAACAATTTAAAGAAACTGAAAGTTAACGAGACAGACACATGTTTGTGAACAACTAAGCAAGACTTTGAAACCACTGGTCTGACACTTTGCCTGCTTTTTTTATATAGAGCCAGATCCCCGCGAAATCACCTCGCGACTGTTAAACTACATCAAATCGCGGCGCGAGTGTCACCTATGCACTGCCCAGGCACGGTGC